TATTCCCTCAAGCCAAAGTTAGATCAAACACTTACCTCGAATGCTCCAAACTCAACTCAAGCCTCTAGTATAGCTTTACCCCTCGAATTCGGCTCCAACACAGTCAAATCTACGAAATAATGACTTTACAATATTAATAATAGCTAAACAAACTAAACCCAATGCCTAAATATGAATTTCTAAGCTTTCTTCCCAAAAATTCCAAAATCGACCCCGTGTCCACATGGTCCAAACACGAGGCTCGGACCAAAACCCAATCACCCATAACCCCACGAGTTTAAATATGCAATTTGTTTTAAGATTCGACCCCAAATTGAGGTTGAATCACCCAAAATTCTCAAAACCCTAGCTCTACCCAAAACCCCTAATTTCTACTTTGATTTCATGATTTAGGCTTAGAAACTTGCTAATTAATGAAGGAAGAGTGAAGGAAATGAGTGGGGAATTACTTACCCAAGTGGTCTTGAAGAATGGGGGCTTTAATGGCTTCCTAAAGCTTGGGAGAGAAGAGAGCTCGTGAGAAAATTGGATAAATCCCGTAGGTTCTGATTCTGAAATTTTAAAATTATAGCTGGGGGATTTTTTTCTATGCGTTCGCGACCCAGGGGTCGCGTTCGCGAAGACGGGTGGACTGGAAGCATCGCGTTCACGATAGTGGGGCTGCGAACGCGTAGAGAAATTTTTCTGGGGTCTGGGGTCTGGGCCTACGCGAACGCGATAGAAGACACGCGAACGCGTTGAAGGAAGCAGCAGAGCTTCGCGATCGCGATGGCCAGAACGCGAACGCGAAGGAGGGAGAGAGCAAGGCTATGCGAACGCGAAGGCAACACTGCGAACGCGAAGAAGGGTCTTTCTGTGTAAAAATTGCAGAAAAATCTGAAGTCTTTCTAAGTTTAAAAACACCCCGAACACCTCCGAAAACACTCCCGAGCCCTCGGGGCTCCTAACCAATCACACACACTAACTCAACAACATCCTGCGAACTTAACAGAGCGATCAAATCGCCAAAACAACATCAAAATCAATGCATCAAACCTCAAAAATCATCATTTTTCATTCTAACTTCACAAACTTTAAACTTTAGATATTTAGGTCCAAAACGCGCCAAATGACGTCCGATTTCGACAAAACTTTACTGAAAGCGCTTAACACATATTTAAGACTTGTTCCGGGCGTTGGAACCAAAATACGAGCCCGATACCACAGTCTTTTAATCAATTTTCATTTCCATTTTCCTCAATAATTTCAGAAAAACAATTTCACAGAAAAATTCTTTTTCTCGGGCTCTAGACCTCGGATTTCGACTCCGGGCATATGCCCGAGTCCCATATTTTTCTACGGACCCTCCGGGACCGTCAAATCACGAGTCTGGGTCCGTTTACCAAAAATATTGACCAAGGTCAACTTTAATCATTTTAAAGCCACATTTTGAAAATTTTCACAGAATTTAACATATAATTTTTTCGGCTACGCGCCCGGACTGCGCACGCAAATCGAGGCAATTAAAAGTGAGGTTTTCAAGGCCTCGGAAGCGCGGAATAAATGAGGAAACAGGTGATGACCCTTTGGGTCGTCACAACAATAAAACTTGGAGTGTTGTGGATCTTCCACCAGGAAAGACACCCATTGGCTGTATGTGGGTGTATAATGTGAAGTACAAAGCATCTGGGGAGGTAGAAAGATTCAAAGCTAGGCTGGTTGCTAAGGGATACAGTGAAAAAGAAGGTTTAGATTATGGTGAAACCTTCTCTCCTGTAGCTAAGATAGTTACTGTTAGATCCATCATTGCCTTAGCTGCTTCTCAACATTGGTTGATTTTTCAGATGGATGTTCATAATGCCTTCCTCAATGGTGATCTTATTGAGGAGGTTTATATGCATATACCTGAGGGGTTTGCTAGACAGGGGGAGAATCCTAAGAGAGTCTGCAAACTTCATAAGTCCCTCTATGGACTTAAACAGGCTCCAAGACAATGGAATATGAAATTGACAGAGGCCCTAGTGTGTATGGGGTTTCAGCAAAGTCATTATGACTATTCTCTGTTTACAAAGAAGGTTGGGAGTGACATAGTGGTCATACTGGTATATGTAGATGATCTTTTGATCACTGGGAACAATCAACAATTACTGTGTGAAACAAGATCAGATCTCAAGAAAAAGGTTCAAGATGAAGGATCTAGGAGAGCTAAAATTCTTCCTAGGTATTGAGTTTGCAAGGTCTAAACAAGGAATTCTCATGTGTCAAAGGAAATATGCACTAGAGTTAATTTCTGAGTTAGGACTAAGTGGTGCAAAGCCAGCTGGAACACCATTAGAACTGAACCAGAAGTTGACAACCACTGAGTTTGATAAGTGCTTCAATACAAATAATACTCACTCGGATGAAGCTCTCAAGAATCCTGGTGTCTATCAAAGACTGGTAGGAAGGTTGCTGTATCTCACTATGACCAGGCCAGATATTGCCTTTGTGGTACAAGTGCTCAGTCAGTTCATGCATTGCCCTAAAGTATCTCATATGGAAGCAGCATTGAGAGTAATAAGGTATATAAAGGAGGCACCGGGTCTGGGACTGCTTATGCCATCAGAATCTTCAAGTAAGCTGACTGCTTATTGTGACTCAGATTAGGGGGCATGCATACAGACAAGGAGATCTGTTATAGGGTATTTAGTCAAGTTTGGGAATGCACTGATATCCTGGAAGTCTAAGAAACAAAGCACTGTCTCCAGAAGTTCAGCAAAAGCAGAGTTTAGAAGTATGACATCATGTGCAGCAGAAGTCACTTGGTTAACTGGTTTATTCAGTGAGCTAGGTGTCAAGATTGAACTGCCAATAACACTGATATGTGATAGCAAAGCAGCAATCCAAATAGTTGCTAATCCAATATTTCATGAAAGAACAAAGCACATTGACATAGACTGTCACTTTGTACGAGAAAAAATTAGCCTGGGACTACTGAGAACTGAACATATAAATACAGAAGATCAACTAGCTGATTTGCTTACAAAGGGATTGGGTAAAGCTCAACATGAGTACCTACTGAACAAGATTGGACTGAAGAACTTGTTTGAATCATCAGCTTGAGGGGGAGTGTTGACCAGCAGCTGTGTAACAAGCTGATGGTTAACTGTAGTTAGGTCTAATTATAATATTAACTAGAGTTAGTTAGGCAATAAGTTTGTTAGAGGCGGTTATTTTGTTAATAGTTAGTAGTTAAATACTGTAGTCCTTGTACAGTTCATTATTCAGAAATGAAGAAGCTCAGCTCTTTCTTCTCTCATTTTCTCTCTAAATCTCTCACTTCTTTCTAGCTTCAATTGATCTCCCATGGCTTCTATCAGCATCACGTGTAAATTAGAACTTGATCAGTCATTTTGATAGATTTCTTTTTGATAATCATGATACCAGGATGAGTTTACACGTACCTCAATTAATTCTTAGCGAGTAATTCTGTTAGTCAAAGCTTGGATAGAGAGTTAGTGGGCGTTTGTACATAAGAAATGTAAAATTCCAAAAAAAAGTGAATTTTTTTTCCAAATAAAAATGGTATTTGAAAATTAGAGTTGTGTTTGGACATGAATATAATTTTGAGTTTTTGAAGTTTTGTGAGTGATATGAGTGAAAATTTTGAAAAATAGCTTTTTGGAGTTTTTCAAATTTTCAAAAAATTCCAAAATTTATTTTGAAGTGAAAATTAAAAATTTTATGGCAAACATTGATTTAAAAAAATAAAAAATTTTCGAAAAAAGTAAAGTCTTTTTTATGTGGGCTCTAAATCAAAAGGTAGCCACAAGAAGTAATCTATACTATATTAAAAGCACGAAGACCCTTAGCGAAATGTCATTCGTCTTTTTTACCCTTTTAAAATACCTTTCATAATGGATAAAATTGTAATTCAAGTGCTTTCCTAATATCTAGGACGTTGAAATCAATTAAAACTTTGCATATTAAATCTTTCTTATTAAACTAGGTAAGAAAAAAATACATAAATATTTTACCTTATATATATTATACTAATTAAAAATAGATGAGAACATTTTATTCTGTGCTTTGAATTGATTTCTAATTAATGAAAGTATGACGACATGAAATCACATATTAAATTAAACTTCTTAAATACAATAGCGTCAACATTAAGTTGTTTTAGCATGGAACAATCAAATGTGCATTTTAAAAATTCTTATTTTAGTCATATAATATAATAAAACCATATTCAATGAAACAATCAAAATAATTATTTGATAGCATATCTAATCATAATACATCGTAAAAGCCTAAATCTAAATTATTAAAGCACAAAACCTCTACAGGAAATGTTGATTGACTTTTTATTCTATAAAAATAAATTTATATTGAATAGAAATATAATTTAAATATTTTAGTAAATAAGGATTTTAAAATCAATTAAATTTATACTTATTGAATCTTTTTATTTAAAGTATATATGAAGTATAAATATTTAGAACTTTAAAATGAATTATATATTAAAAATAAAATATCTAAGTTAATATGTACATACACACGCAGTGAATTTCAATAACTTTTCAAGTAATTTGTTCGTCCTATTAAACTTTTATGTTTTATTAATGCTTTCTTTGCCACACGCGTTTCGACAAAATTATGTAAATCATAATTTTTTTGTTATCTCAGCTACTAAAACCTTACTAATTGAGTAACATTGAAACCTTTGAAAGGAGATAAATTGAGAAGACATGAAATTCAATTTTTTAATTTATGTTATACGAATTTTTTTAAAGAATCATAATAAAAGTGATAATTAAACATGTTTGTGCCTTCTTGCATAAACTTGAGAATAGCTTTTGAATAATATTTTTAGAAAAAGTTTTAAATCTTCAAGGCTATGTGTTTTTACTGAAACTAAAAAGGAAGTATAGAAAACTGGTAAAATTGAACCGATAAAACTAAAAAATTAGAACAAAATTTAAGGTAAATATATTGAATAATATTGAGGAACAAAAATTTTTCTTTATTGAGTTAGCTATATAGGATTAATATTTTATTAATTTCAAAAGCTTATACTTTATTTTATAATTTAAAAATAATCTAAAAATATATATGCAATTTTCTTAGCAAAAATTACTTACTAAGAATGGGAACACGCGCAACGTCCGTACACTAAAACTAGTATAGTAAATGGTAGCTATAACTAGTTAATAACCACTAAAACATAGTGGTTTCTGAAAGTTTCTCATATTTATTGCCCTTGTTACGACTGAACGTACAATTTCATGGTTTTTAACCCCACCATTGACCTAGCCATACACTGATGTCGTTTTGATAAACTCGAACACAAATTTTTCGCTTTAACCTCTATTCTCTCCCATCTTTGCTTGAAAATTTGAATTTTAAACATTTCAATACTACTTCATACAAATACGAAATTTTGTTCGTCAATTTTCTTTTTACTATAGTATTCCTAAAAATTGTATAGCCATTGACCAATATGCCCTTAGATTCTACCACCCCAAAAGTTTTGCCCTATTTATGCAGACGCTTCCACCAAAAAACAGCTTTGAGCATAGCCTTAGAAAAGAAGAAGAATGAGGCAACAGAGAGATTGGGATTTTCTGTAAAAGGGTGGTTGCCCCTCTCGTTATGCCTGTGATTTCTCCATTTACAATCAACAGCCCTTTAAATTAAACAAAAATAAAAAAAATCATCCAAACAGGCCCCAAATATATTGCTCTTCCTCTTCCTCTTCCTCCTCTCTTTGTGCTGCTACTGATGTATGTAAAGGGGCTGTGATGATTGCTTTTCCTTTCTGGGTTATGTTCAATTCATGGCATTGAGAATTATCCGACCCGTATCTTGGCGGGGCGACCCGGTACGGCTTTTCTATAGCAAACTGGTGTCTGCAGCCATGGCGGCGGCGCCTTCTCTTTTGCTTTGACTAAAAATGCAGCAAATCTGAGCCCTCAGGAAAAGTCCCGAGTATTAGCCTCTTTGGCCGTGTTTCTAAAATCAGCTTATTTTGTTATAGCCTGTTTGACCGTGCTTTTAGAATCAGCTTATTAGATCTAAAGAAACTAACCCTTATTTTTTGGGACCTCAAAGTCTGCAATTATGAAAATGACGCTCCCTTTTCTTTCCCTCAAAAGGAAAAAGGTTAGCCCAGAAGAATTACAGAAATGATGCAAAACCAGAGAGTTTGGGATTTTCTTTGAAAGGGTGGTTGCCCCTCTGTTTCACCATTGATTTTCCTCCATTATTAAAAAACAAGAAGAACAACAGCCCTTGCAGAAGTGGCAGAAATGATTTAAGTTAAAGATACTAACATCTCTAGGAGTCTTGGAGAAACAACAAAGTTAATTCCGTGTGGCTTATAGGTCACAGATTCCAGCACTAATACTTGCATTAGGGTAGGCTGTATATATTATACCCTTAGGGGTGCCGCCCTTCCCTAAATCTTGCGTGAATACGGGCTGCTTTACGCACCGAGTTGCCCTTTATTGACATCTTGTCTTTCCTCTGTGTGTGTTATTTTATAGTGTTGATGCAAGGTACATAAAGTGGCAGTGAAGATGATGTTTCTATATCTGGGCTAACCGGTTTGGGTATTGAGATGACCTGACCTGTATCATGGCGTGGCAACCCTGTATGGCCTGTGATCGAGAATATTGAATCTTCTCTCGCACATGCAACCGGTGTTTTGCAGCCATGGCCTTGTTGGCTTCTCTTTTGCCTTATCATAACACACATCTGAGCTCCGTTTGCTTGAAAGTACAAGAAACATAATCTTTTCCATGATTTGATGTTGGGATATGTTGAGCCCGCGACCTTCTGCCACAACTAAGAGTTTGCAAACCCAGTAACTCAAATGGGTTGTGGTAGAAATTCAACTCGAATAAAGTTCAAATCGTGGTAGAAATTCAACTCGAATAAAGTTCAAATCTTGAATCCGCATCTGGATGTATATGCATTTATCTCTGTTACACTAATCGCCTGTTTGGATGGTTGTTGTCATTGTATTATATTTTTTCTTTAAATGGCTAGACAAGGAAAATATGAAGCATAAATTGTAATGGGGTGAGAAAAAAGACCTCGATGGTCCCTTAACTTTAGGGTAGGTCTATAATGGGGTTGTGATAATTGATTTTTCCGAGCTTGATGGAATCAGGAGTTGATAGGTCGTATCTTGGCGGGGCAGCCCAATAACTGGATTTGCAGCCATGGCGATGCTAAAGATAGAATACAGATGTGAGCCTCAAAATCTCTGTTATTACCATCTCTACTTCACCAATTTAGAGTGTTAAAAATATTTATCTTTCCTACTGTTATTGAGATGGGGAGTATGGTGGGTTAAACTTTTGTTTCTTGTTATGAGTTAAATAAAGGCTTGACTTTTGGAATGAAATATTTTTGTTGGGGTATTTTATTCATATTTGGTCCTTGCGGAATTCGTTTTCTTCTACATGGGAAGAAAAGTAGCAAATCATGGGATTTTATGCTCTTGATAATGGGAACCAAAATAAAAGAGGGAAAATAAGGAAAATTAAGTAGGCATAATTATTTTTTCCCTCCGTTTTGCAATGGGAAAACTACGGCAGAGTTGGAAACTAAACAGTAATTTGTTATCTATTTAAAAGATGTGCATTTTAGTGTAAGATGCTTTATATTTCATCTCGTTTACAAGATGAAGAGATCCAGCTCAGAATGAAGAATAAGGGCTTGGCGATGGAGTAAAGGTTAGTTGATCCTTCTCCCTCCCTCAATGATTTCTTTATCACTATAACCAGAAGCTTTGTATTTATTGTTTCCCCAAACGACAAAAATAAAAGAAATGAGAGACCTGGCAACATTGTTTATTGAGGGTGGCTTTGATAGTACAATACTAGTAGTAATGCTTAGAGTAATTTAGCGTTTAATCACACACAATTGGAAACCATTGGAAAGGTTGTCATTTCTCCAAAAGGGCGGTGATGATCTTCCTATCTTGGATATTACTCGGGGGCTTAGGGATGATTTGACCTGTATCACGGATATGAAACCACTGATTGTTTGTTATTTATGAGTTCTCTCACATGCAACCAATATTTTTGCAAGCTATGGTTTTGTTGCCTTCTCTTTGGCCCATTGGGATCATCTCAAGCTCTCTTATTAGTCCTGGACAGCCCGAGATCCTGGACCTCGTTAAAAGAGAAGATGCGTAAGAGGAAGTCTGCCTCTAGATTAAGTTTAACAAAGTTTTTGATTTGTACGTTAGTTTCAAGGTTGAGGATCAAAAATGTTCACTTTTCTTATACATTAAGGACTATTTCTATTAAGTTGTATATATCGAGGACTAAAATAATTCAACACCTATACAATTAAGGAGTATTTTGATCATTTTCTCGAACTATGGAAGTTCAGCCCAAAAGGAAGAATGAGGCCAACAGGGGTAAGAGGAAGTTCTAGGAAGGTGGTTGCCCCCTTTGTTTGGCCTATGATTTCTCCATTACTAAGATCAACAACCCTCTTTCCTCAAAGAAAACCAAGAAAGCAAACATCTAGCGCCTTTGCTTTAGGCATTACTGGATTCTTAGTATGAGCTTAGTCCAAAACTTCCATACGTGAAATATATGAAAGAGTCAATGTTTTCTGAAAGAGGCAGTTATTGTACTTGTTTATTTGGGCTATAAATCATTAGGGCATAGAGTCAATTTCACCCGTATCTTGGGTTGGCAAACACCGGAATGGGCTGTGATTTGAGGCTCCTCTTTCACATGCAATTGGTTGTTTGCAGCCATGGCATCACTGGCTTCTCTTTTATCCTTCCAAAATACACATCTGAGCCCCTTTTGCTTGAAAAAGAAAGCCAAAATCTATTCCATGATTCAATGTTGTGATATGTCGAACCCGCGACTTTCTGCTACAAGTTGCAAGTTATCTTGCAGTCCTAATGTATCACCATCTTTTTTAAAATCAATTGAGCATAGCCTAGAAAGATGGAAGAATAGGCATGAGAGAGATTGGGATTTTCTGTAAAGGGTGGTTGCCCCTCTCTGCTATACCCGTGATTTCACCATTTATAACCAAAAAAACAACAGCCCTTTCAAATAAACAAGAAAAAAGAAAAAAAGAAATTCCTTCATCCAAACACACCCTAGTATATTGCTCTTCCTCTTCCTTTTCTTTTAGTGCTGCTACTATTGATGTTGTAAAGGAGCTATGAAGATTGCTTTCCTTTCTAGTTTATGTTCAGTCATGGCATTGAGAAGACACCCGACTCGTATCTTGGCAAGGTGACCCAGTATGTTTTTTTTATAGCAAAATGGTGTCTGCAGCTATGGCAGCCTAGCCCTCTCTTTTGCTTTATTTAAATATACTAGTAAATAGAGAGAGTCAGCTTCAATGAGAAAAAGGATTATATTATTATTGTTATAAATAAAATTTTATTTATGGTGAATGTCTATATTTAGAGAGATTCTAGGGTTCATTGCTTGGTGGCTAAGTCACCCTCTCCCTATAAATAGAGGGTTCTATTCTATTGTAATTCATCCAATATCAGTAAGAATTCCCTCTCACTACTTGTCTCTGCAACACTTTTCTTCTTCTTTTATTGTTTTATAACACGTTATCAGCACGAGACTCTAACCAATTGAATAGAAGCTTTGGGATTGAGCATAATGATTGTCAATAGTTCTATAAACTTCCTTCATGATTAAATTTTGGATTTAAGGTAAGTATTTTACCGTATTTTTCTCTTTTATTCTATACTTTGATTTTATATACAAGCAAAGACAACAAAGTTTGATTATAACTCTAATGAAGTTTGTAAGAAATTACAACCACCTAAAGTGGTAAAATTTTTATGCCTTGTCATGATCAAATTCATGTATGATTGTGGGCAAACTATTGAAAACCCATCCCATTGAATTTGCTTTATTCTCATTCCCTTAAGAGAATGTGATAGCAGTACGTAATACGTCTGAAAGAAGACAAATTTATTACCATGAATGATCAATGGATGTGGATGTGGCAATAGACGAAATCATATCGTCATAATTGTGATAATGAGAATAATAAGGATTCTCAAAATAATCCTTTACTTTGTGAAAGTAATATTTGTCATCGATTTTACATGAGATTTTATAAAGTACATATAGATGATTATGATCCATTCATGATTTGAATGTGACAACATGTGATTTATGAATACATATTCATTTTTCAAAAAATATGAACGTGCTAGCGGTAGTGAATATACCGCACTCACCTCTAGAAGGAGGTTTGAGATGATATAAGAAAATAATATCATTATTATGGCATGAATGGTCATCGGTCACGTACCTATTGTACGCCAAAATATTTTGGCATCGTGATTATTAAAAGACAACGGTAATGCAAGAAACAGATCTTGCATATAATTTTGACCATAACCATAATGGTATAACTTTCTCTTTAAAAGAGATATTCACCATATGGGTGTTGATGAATATGTGGTACTACAAAATTAATTGAGAACTCTGCAAGAGCCAATTATACTATTTTGGAGAAACACAATTAATTACCAATAAGGTACTGTGTTGTAGTAAGTCTCAAAGAAACTTATTCAGTTTTCAAAGTATACGCGAAAGCGGTTGATTATATTGAGACTATAAATAAAGGAAAGATTTAATATCTTCTATTACTACAACTTGTAGCGGGGTGATATGTATGTAAAAAATTACCCGCTTTATTCTCCAGTTTGTACTACACAAACAAAAGAGTGCCACAATAAAGAGAAGTTTATTGATATAAAAATACATATCATAATAAACTTGGAGTTTATTGATAATTGCACACGTCATGGTGTAAATCTGAAGTTTATCAATATTGATAATTTATTTAGTTGGCATAATTGGTTTACCCATATCAATTTAAGTATGATGTACAAAAATAAAAGAGAATTCACATGGGTAAATATTAAAGAACTAGAAAGTTCTTTACGAATTCTCTTATGTTGCCTGTTCTCATTAATTAATATACCAACTAAAATTGGGATTGAATCACATGAATGCTGGAAATATCAAAGGTGAATATGGGCCCATTCACCTACCATGTATACCACATAGGATGCATCTATGATATGGTTACATGTGCGATTATTAATAATCCGCAACATGGTATTTTGCGAGGTAACTTGCTCGATAATTTAATTTCGAGCATAATTTCCAGATTTTTTACTCAAGAAGTTCATCTTGATAAGTTGGTTTATATCACAGTTGGTTTAGCAAAATGATTAAGTGCCTCTACTTAATAGCTAAACAATTGCTTATGAGAACAAAGTTATCTATATCAGTTTGATATAGGTTATATACGAAAGTATATAACATTCTCCCCTCACAAGTGGTTTCAAGGTCAGGAACCAAATAATTTCATCTCATTATTATTGATGTGCGGTGTATATTTTGATTAACACCATAACGCACAAAGATGAGTTCTCAAAGTTGATGAAACAAGTTAGTTTTTCTAACATGAGGGGGAGACAAGATACAACAGTTGAGAAAAAGTTACATGGAATGAATTATCATTTATACATCTAGATCCCCGAATAAAACAATATAAACTTGAAGTTCATAAAAGGATAATTCATGTGCAATATATTGCAAAGCATGCCGGACATATTTGCTGTCCCAAAGAAAGTAACTATATTTTCATTGTAAATGCTCATATTATAATAAGTCCTAGAAGGACAAAGTCTATGGTACTCTTAAAGCGTATAGACAGATCGGTTTCAAATGAACTTCTTAATAAAGAAGATGAGCAAATGATCAAAATGACACAATAAAAGAGGCAAGTGATCTAGAAGATCACATGACATAACACTTCATAAAATCTCATGAGAGATTCAGGTACCTGAATATATGAACGAAGAGATCTCTATGTTATGTCTTTATGAAAAATAAGAAGGTTGGAACCGATATAAAATGTTCGTCGACGACATCTATGACACCGCTAAATAAATACGAGGATCTTAAGCCTGAAAAAACAATTTTGAATAGAATTGGTTTCATATGAAAGACCTGTTGTTTTGGACCTGCAGTTCAAATACTTGAAAGTATAACGTTAATGGTGTGTGCAATCACTTTTATTTATCTTATATGTCTAGCATGACATGAAAAGTTGATATGCATCTAAAGTCTATTTAAATGGCTTATTTGACTATACTTATATGACAATCCCCAAAGGATTTAAATTGCTTAAAGCATATAGAATTCTTGGTCATGAAGTGCTACATCCTAAGTACAATTTGTGCACATATGTATCTTGTTATAACTATATGCATAGATAATATGATAGCGAGAATCTATTGGAGATATTGAAAAGGCCATTCCACGTCATTATATGAAGACACTATATATCTATCAAGAATGATGATTTCAAGGTGCAAAATATTCATTCAAGTCATTATGGCTGATTTGTTTATCAAATCTCTACCAAAGATCTTTTGAAGATGGTGCACAAGATTGGAATGCAAATGCTTAAATGTGAATTGATGCTCTCATCAGGGGAAGTTAATACGCGTTGTACTCTTTTTCCCTTACAAGGTTTTGTCCCACTGGGTTTCCTTGCAAGGTTTTTAACGAGGCAACCAAAAGGCGTATTATTAGATATGTGTACTCTTTTTCCTTTTTTAGAATTTTTTTTCCATGTGATTTTATTTTAGTTAAGGTTTTAACGAGGCACATTATCTGTTGAATAGACATTCAAGGGGGAGTGTTATAAATAGAATATTATTTATAGTGAATGTCTATATTTAGAGAGATTTTAGGGTTCATTGCTTGGTTGCTAAGTCACCGTCTCCCTATAAATAGAGGGTTCTATTATATTGTAATTCATCCAATATCAGTAAGAATTCTCTCTTACTATTTCTCTGCAACACTTTTCTTCTTCTTTTATTGTTTTATAACAATTATGCATTTGTTCAGTTTTGCTGGTAAGCAAATGATTTCTTGCTGGAAGCAATTAATAGTGCTTATATCTTTCTTCAAATATATCTAGCTTCCAAAGATACATGTTGTTGATCTCCTGTTGCTGTTGCTGCTACCATTCTTTGCTTCTTGCTATTATGTGGTTGTGTTAACTCGCAAACAGTGAGGATCATACTAAAAATAAAGGTGAAAGTGAAAATTTTGAGGTAATGTTGATATGATTCTTGGCAAATGGCTTTATTGATTTGCATTGAGATGGTATTAAATTCGTATCTTGACAGGGCAATCTGGAGCCATGGCGGTTTTGAGAAACTCCATCTCTGATCATAGTGAGATATGAGCCTCATATGAAAATAGCAAAAATCTTGTTAGTTTAAGGCTGAGGCTGCTGTGAAAGCAGAGGGATATAGGGAGTTTCAATTGGTGGTTTGCCCTTCTATGTCGTTCTCTATGCCGATGATCACTCAAATGAAAAAAAATTCCAATTCCTAAACCAGCCTTTGGTGAAATACAGATAACCTCTCTATTTTCCTTTCTTGTTACTCCTTCTGTTTCACTTTTATGTGATGCAATGAGGCTATGAAGATTTTTTTTCTTCTGTGAACGATGATTCAAGACATATATTTTATGTTGAGCTGGAAAAAAACTATAACTTGGCTTGGCAGCTCAGATGGGTCTGTGAGATATTAGAAAATATTCCAGTTTTTTGTGTTTCTTCTGTGTCTTGTAAGGCTAATTGGTGCTTCCAGCCATGGCGGTTTTACCAAAGCTTTTTTGGTTTTTGTCTGAGGAAAGACGAATCTATAGTTATAAAATTAATAAATCCTAAAATGGATGAAACACTAGATAGATGAAGATTAGAAATTGCTAAATTAACTGCTCCTCCAGAATGGCTAGTAATACCACTTGAGGGCGGATAGAACGTCCACCCAGTGCCGCTACCCACTTCTATTAAGGCTCAACTTAATTGGAGCAAGAGACTTGGAAGCAACAACAGAATGAAATATTATTTAACTGTGGATATACCGTGTCAGGTGCACCTATCAGAATTGGAATAGACCAATTAACAGATCCACCAATCATCACTGCCATAACCATAAAAAAAGATCATTAAAAAGCGTGAGCCGTTATTAAGGCAATATAAAGTTGATGATTCCTACCAAGAATTTGATCGCCGAGTCTGTCACACCTCCTTTTTTTTGAGGGATAGGTAGTTTTTCCAATTAAAGTGACATTATTCCAAATGAGATTATTTATTTAGTTTTAGAGTCGTCACTTGGGATAATTTATGTGTCCCAAGTCATCGGTTTATTTTAAATCCCAAATCGAGGAAATTTGACTCTGTTCTAAAGTCTGCGAAATTAGAAGACCGGGTAAGGAATTATGTTAATCCAGGAGGTCTTAGGCATTCCCAAGTTCCGTGGTTCTAGTACGGTCACTTCAATCATACATGGCTTAATTAAATTATTTAATTACTCAATAGAACCTGTACATTTTGCCTTTTACCGCTTTATAATTATGGCGTTTATGGAATTATCTTGAAATGAATCACATATGCGTAAATCCGTTTTGTTTGGGGCGCTAAAATCATGTCACGCGTATGTGTACACAATTAATCATGCTTTATTAATATTAAGATGTGACGACCCGGCTGGTCGTCTCATGAGTTACCGCCCCGTTTCTCCCTTTTCTGCTTTCTTATGCATTGTTTATCCGTGTTTTGAGGTATCGGGTTTGTTGGATTGAATCCGGAATTATTTTGTGAAGTTTGAGACACTTAGTCTCTTTTAAGAAGGTTTGAGTTGGAAAAGTCAACCGGACGTTGACTTATGTGTTAGAGGGCTCGGATGTGAGTTCTGATGGTTCAGTTAGCTTCGGGAGTGATTTATGACTTAGGAGTGTGATCGAATTGGGTTTTGGAGGTCCGGAGTAGAATTAGGCTTGAATTGGCAAAGTTGAGTTTTTGGCGATTTCCGGTTGGTAGGTGAGATTTTGATCCGGGGGTCGGAATGGAATTCCGAGAGTTGCAGTAGCTTCGTCGTGTAATTTGGGATGTGTGTGCAAAATTTTAGGTCATTCGGACGTGGTTTGGTTGGGTTTTTGATCGAAAGCGTATTTCGGAAGATTTTTAGAAACCTAGGCTTGAATCTGATGTGTTTTGAGTAATTTGATGTTGTTTGAGGTGTTTTGACGATTGGAACAAGTTCGAAAAAGGTTTTAGGATGTGTTGGTGCTTTTGGTTGAGGTCCTAGGGGCCTCGGGTGAGTTTCGGGTGGTCAATCGGACCATTTTCTAAGTTGAAAAGTTGCAGATTTTCAGTTCAGGCGTTGCAGACATTTAAGCCTTTGCGATCGCGTGGGGTATATCGCGATCGCGTAGAAGGAATTTGGAAGGCAGGAATTTAAGCCTTCGCGTTTGCGTTTGAGGGCTCGCGTTCGCGGACGGCTAAGAGTTTGTGCTTCGCGTTCGCATGAGTTTGCCCGCGTTCACGTATAAGGATTTGGGGTCCAGTGGAATTACTCTTGGAACCATTTTTTCAAGCCTACACTTTTTTGGGCTACACACACAGATCTACTGAAGGAGTATAATTGCTTGGAACACAAGGTTTGCTCTTCACATTTGGACCCCAATGTAAAATTAAAGGCCAAGGAGGGAACAATACTGCAGGATCCTTCTTACTATAGGGAGCTAGTAGGCAAACTGAATTTCCTAACTAACACCAGATTGGATATAACATATGGTGTTCAATACTTAAGCCGGTTTATGCAGGAGCCCAGAGAGCCCCATCTGAAGGCAGCATTTCATTTATTGAGATACCTAAGGAATGATCCTACCTTGGGAATTTTCATGTCAAAGGATGGGGACCATACAGTCAAAGCTTATTGTGATTCTGATTGGGCAGCTTGCCCAGACTCTAGGAGATCCATCAGTGTTATTTGGTCTTGTTGGGCAACAGTCCTATCAGTTGGAAGTCTAAGAAACAAGAGACTAAGAGCCCGTTTGGATTAGCTTAAAAAAAGTAGCTTTTAAGCACAAGTGCTGGAGTTGGTTTTATAAATAAGCAGTTATGCGTTTGGATAAAAGTGCTGGAGCTGAAAAAAAGCTGTTGAAATGTTTGGTACACAAGTGCTGGTAAGCATTTTTTCTATTAAAATGACTGAAATATCCTTAAAGTTGTTAACACTATAAAGAAGCTTATTACTATAATATTTTATTTCAAACTTATTAATATAAATACAAAATAATTAATATTTGAACTGATCACCTAAGATAATTTTTATAAATATAATTGTTGAACTCTTATTTTTCACTTCTTTCAACCATGTAATATTTTTATGTATTTCTTGAAATTCCAAGCTTACTGGGAAAACATATGAATGGCTATCACATTTTATTATTCTATTCCTTATTTGAACTATGTAAAAATTTCTAATATTTAGGAAATCAAAATAAAATAAACTTGTACTTTTTAAAATTATTTGAAAATTGTACGTATAGTTAATAAGAAATTACAATGATGGTATATACTTGAAAGGGAGTGATTGGTGGAGTTACATTCCTCCACAAGATTGCTGTTGGTATTACAGGAAAACATGTGCTATAAGAGATAGATATGCAGCAGGATATGTAGAGAATGGATGGCAGACCAAGAATGGTAAATACTCAATTAAAAATAGGTATCATTGGCAAAGAGGGGGAAATGGTACCATGGACTTGGAGAAGATGGGTGTGGAATAAAATGAATAATCCAAAGCATAGCTTTATTTATTGTCTTGCAATGCGAAGAAGACTACTAACGAAAGATAAAACACTGAAAATGGGGATCACGCAAGACAGTGAATGTATGCTATGTAATGGTCACACAGAATCAATTGATCATATATTTTTTGATTGCACATTCTCAAAGATGTGCTTGGAAGAAGTCTTCAAATGGCTTGGGATGAATATCAGAAACACAGAGGTGACAGGCTTATGGAGAAGAATGTCAAGAGCAGCAAAAGGGAAAATAGGAAGAGCATTCACACAAGCAGTGTTGGCAGCAGTTATATACTACATTTGGAGGGCCAGGAATGAAGCAGTTTGGCTGAAGAAAGTGCCACGACCTCAAAAGGTGCTGGAGCAAATACGGTATACTTGTAAATACAGATGCCTAGAAGCTATACGGGGAAAGAAACTACAGAAGGAGACTAGTTGGATAGAAGACTTATACAAATAGTTATCTACTGGAAGTGTATAATTGTATAGAGAGGTTGTAGATATTGACTAGAACTGTATCAAAAAAGAGAGTTAGAAAATGTAATTATTTTTTGGGTTTGGATAGTGATATAGGAAGGGATGGGAAGTGGATATATCACATTGTAAATGTTCTGGGTTTGAAGGATTGAATAATAAAATTTATTTCCACCAAAAAAAGAAATTACAATGATGTCGTATTCACCTTTCAAAGCAAAGCTAAACTTTAAAGTAAGTTCACGTTCTAACAAATTTTAAAAGTTTGAGTTGGATATTATAATTATTTCACAAGTTTGTGAAGGACATTTTTGGAATAATAAATACTATTAGGGACAAGAGGGTAAAATATTTGGTCAAAGATAGTTGACTTTTAAGCTGGAAAAAAAAAGTTGGGATCAGCCTACTTGTGGCTTTTGGCTTTTTTTAAGCCAGTTTTAACTTTTTTTAAGCTGTTTTCTTTTTTGCCAAACACTCCCAACATCTAAAAATGGCTTAAAAGCTGGTTTGCCAATCCAAACTGGCTCTATATCACTCTCTTCTGCAGAGGCAGAGTATAGAGCCTTGAGAAAGGTTGTAGGAGAGTTAGTATGGTTAAGCAGGTTGTTTGAAGAACTGACTGTTCCTTTCTCTTTACCTATTTCAGTCTACTGCGATAGTCAGTCTGCATTGTATATTGCAAGGAACCCAGTATTCCACGAGAGGACCAAGCACATAGAGGTCGACTGTCACTTTATGCGTGATCAACTACAAGCAGGCTTGATTTCTCTCCATCATATCAGAATAGATAACCAGCTCGCAGATATTCTAACTAAGGCCTTGACAGGGATTAAACACAGTGCTACATTGGGCAAGTTGGCTGTGTTTACTATACCTCCAACTTGGAGGGGGGGGGGGGGGGGGTTAAGAACTTTAATTATTTTGTACTAATTAGTTGGTTAGTTAGTTATGACAGCTGTACACAACTGTACCAATCAGCTTGGTAGTTAGTGGTTAGTCGACTTGGTTTAGTCTTAGCTTAGGTTGCACAATTACATTGTATATAGTGGAGGTTCCACTCACTTTTCTTCTCAATGAATTCATTTTTGCAATATTCTGGAATCTTCTCCCATCGTCTTTTCTCTCTCTTTCTCTCTGAGTTCTCATGACATGAAGGTCACAGCTTCATCACCATTGAAGTTCAGTTTCGAGCAGCAGTAAAGCTTCAATCACTGTTCCATTGGCTAATTCTGTTAAAATGAATGAACTACATATATTCAAATTCTTCGAGAAAAAATATTCAAATTTATCCCTCAACTTTTAACTGTGTTATCCTCATGCTTGAGCTACATGATGATCCGACGACAAATAAAAAAGAGAGAATTCCCTAACGAAAAAATAACATTAGACGAAAAGCCTTGATCAAATATTGCAGAAGCATTTGACCGTTTTTTCTAACTTTTGATTTATGCATAGGAGTCTACCTCTCTCACGCATACACAAA